GATTCAGTGCCATCCTTTGAAATAAATTCTTCTCGGGGGAGGGGCACTGCCTGCCATTCTTAGCAGAGTTTTGAAGATTTGTTGGGCCTTACTTTCTCTCTCTTAGGAGTTTTACCTCTTCCTGACTTCTACTCATTGAAGAAGTGATTTGGTTAGTGTGATTACATATGCCATCGTATTCTCTGCGTGAAGCCTTTGTCTTACCTTTTGTGAAGAATATGATAAGAATCGTCGGTATGCTTCAGTTTTGGCATAATTAAGCTTAAAGCGAATGCTCTCACGGTTATGACTTGGGGTATTGTCTTCCTTCGCCTGCTTGTCTCCATCAGCCTGTTCATTTCCATTAACCTGTTTGTCTCCAGCAGCCTGTTCATTTCCATTAGCCTGTTCTTTAGGTTGACTTGTCTGCCTTTCAGTAATTTCAGTGGGCATGAATTTTAGAGAGAAATCTGCATTGAAAGAGGTGGCCTTATCTTGCATGATAGTTGTGAAAGCTTGATATTGTTCTTCAAAATGTTCGGTTCTGAAATTCTTATCAGCTCTGACCTAAACAGAAGAGCAGAGAGTTGTTATAAACCACACATGCACATTAAAAAATAACAGAACCGAAACAAACAAAAACTTCAAGAACCCTTTGAAGTGTAGCCAAGCAAAAGGAGTGACCAGTGAAGACTTTGGAGTCGTTCTGCTGGGGATGAAGTCCCGGCCCCGCCATACCCAGTTCTGAGGCGTGACCTAATCTCTTGTCCTGAAATTCCTCATCCATCTGACATCAGCAATGATATCCCTTGTTCTACGTCCTCTTCTGAATCTCTCCGGAGCCTCTGGAAGCTCCCTATCAATGTATACTGCTGAAACCATCGTTGAATGATCTTCCGCAAAATTTTACTTGCATGAGATAGTAATGATATTGTTCTATAATTTGTACATTCCGTTAGGCCACTTTTCTCTGGGATGGGTACAAATATGGATTTCTTTTAGTCAGTTGGCCAAGGAGCTGTCTTCCAAATGTGCTCACACAGAGAAATGAGAGCTTCCAGTGCCTCACAGCTTGTTGAAACATTTCAACAGGGATTCCGTCAATTCTGGGAGCCTTGTTTTTGGCTAATGCTTTCCGTGCAGCTTGAACTTCTTTTAGCACCATTGATTCTTGCTCATATGCTACCTCCTGAAATGGTGGTATATTGACTGGTTTTTTTTGGTACAAACAATGAACTGGATATAGAGAGTTATGAGGAAACAAGAATTCACTGTCAATTCACATCTCCTATAAATCACCCAGGATTTTGGCATGGAAAGAATAATTATAACCTGGGTGCATTTTTCTAACTTTGGTTGGTATCCTAAAACAGGGACCAAGGATTAAGGAAACGAACCGTGAGTCAGAGTCAGAATGTACTTGAAGGCAACTGATGCAAGCCCTGGAAACTGATTTAGGACTATGAATCACTGCTTTGAGCAACGAAGTATGGGGTGTGTGTCGTGTGTGCTAAAAATAGGAAGAAAAGGATCAACTTTGCAGACACACTCATATTGCAGAACTTCTGGCCCCTATATTCGTAGACTTTGGTTGTTCTTGGTCACTACTTTTGACTGATAAAGCAGCCAGTAAAAGCTGATCAACTACACAGCCACTAATGACATGTCTAAACTTAGTGACGTCTCTTCTTGCTAAGTATACTCTAAAAAAGAATAACAGTTAATTTTTACTGAGTGTTTACAATGTGCCAGAAAACTTTCTAAATGCCTTGCATGTTTTAACTCCTATAAACGTACCAGAACTAGGATTGTGTCTGACGCAGCTTAGCTCTAGAGCAAGAGCCTCCTTGGAGAGGCGGGGCAGAATATGAGATGAGTGTTATCGGTGTGAGATGTCATCGGAAAAGCATACTCTCATGTAATGGCAGGCCAGTAGAATTCTCTCAAAAACTAAAAGACTAATTATTGTCAATAAGGAACTAAAACAAAATTTAAATAATTTATCCAACAGCAATGTGTCGAGTGCCTAATGTACATATATCTTGAGTTGGGTGTTGGTAATGGAGAAATGGAAACAACCCGAAATATCCTCTGAGATGTGCGAGAAGTAGGTTCCCTTCTGCACTTCCAGGTATAAGAAATTGGATGATGTGATCACTTGCCAGAAGACTCAAAAGATGACAAACTCCGGGCCACTGAGCCGATTCCAACTCATAGCAACCCTATAGGCCAGAGTAGAACTGCCCCTGTGGGTTTCCCAGATTGTCACATTTTATAGGAGTAGACAGCCACCATAGTCATGGTCCAAGGGGAAAATTAAAAAAACGAAACAAAACACCTCACTGCCATGGAGTGAATGCTGACTCATAGTGACCCCTGTCGGTTTCCAAGACTGTAACTGTTCATGAGAGTAGAAAGCCCAGTCTTTCTCCTTCAAAGCTGCCAGTGGTTTTGAACTGCTGATCATGTGGCTCACAGCCCATGATACCACTGCATTAGGTTATTTCAACTTGTATAAGGACTAACTTTTCATATTGCTATAGACAAAAATAATACAAACTAAACATATATGCGTACATATACATACACTGGTGGGACTTACAGCAATAATACTTCTGTAATAACTGAATAAAATACATATTAAGCATCTTTTTCAACAATGGGGCCATTTCAAGAAATAAATCATTGTAGCTCCTGATTGTGATTAAGCCAACTATTAATCTTTATTATTCCTTGCTTTGATTAGAGGAGACTTCTCTAAAGGTAATAATAGCCCTTTAAATGGAGGATCCAATCTGTGGACAGTTCTAGAAATTCAGGTGACTTCAAGGAATGATGTAAGTTTGGAATGGTCATGCTTCCTGGAAAATTCACTTTTCAGAAATAGTTCAAAAGAAGCAGCGGCAAAAAAAAAAAAAAGAAGCAGCGGCACTTGGGGTGAGTGAAAATAACCACTTACACAAGTCAAGCAGGCTCTATGAAGGTGGTGCTGAAGGAAAACAAATGGGAATTCGGGATTTCATTGGCAGGCTAGGAAGAAAGCCCACTCAAATAGCACAAAAACAGTGCAATCGCCTCTCGAATCAGCACCATTCTTATTTTTACTTATCTGACTTTTAAATAATTTATTTTACAGAGGCTACATATTTGCCAAAATGACACCACTGGGTAAATGCTACTGAATATTGTGCACCCCTGCATATTTTGTGACGAGAAAAATGCTACCCCTCTTCTTTTTAAACGTCATTCTTATCTTCTCATGAAATCTTTAGTGTACTGATTTTTCCCCAGTATAAATCATTAGATTTGTTGAAGCAGCTCTTCAGCTAAAAACAGTTGCATCGTCTTCTGAGAAGACTTACTTCATAGGCCAAAGTTGCCACATTCCAAGGTCTGCGATAGTACGTCAAGGTATTTCCATCCCTGACCCGGGTACAGAGGCCATTGTAGAACTCATTGTCGAAAGGACTGTTCAGGGGCTCCATTCCCAAAATGTTGATCCTGAAAATAAGCAGAGTAGTCTCAGGTGTGGAAACCCCACCCTTTAGGCATGGAAGGCAGCCCTCTGTCACTGGGCAAAGGGAGACTGCTTTAGCTCCTCCCCCCATCACCCAGAATGGACACTGTGTCAAGAACAGAGAGCCTGCTCACCAGCGCGCAATCTCTGGCAGAAAGCATACCGTAGCAAGGCCTTTTAAACCTTCTTAAGCAAGGAGGGTACTGTGTAGAGCAAAATGAAAGAAATACAGTGAATAGGGCACAAGGGACCTTCTGGCACCAGGAGTCTTAACTCCACTGCTGTAAGTCTTACCTAATCTCCCTTAGAGCTGATGCTGTAATACCCATCATTTAAATTATTTGAGAACAGAACATCTCAGGGGGCAGTATAACATATGCATACAATTTTTCATTTATGAATCAAAGTGGGGCTCCTCTCTCCCCACAGTCCCTGGAAATATAAGCCTTTCCCTCCAGCCGTCTCATTGCTTGTCAAGCACCTCGGTCCCTCCAGGCTCAGATTCCTCTGGTCTTTTCCAAGAGGAGCCACCAAGCTTCAGCAAAACCCCTTTAAAACTTTTATTGTTTTTCTGCTCAGCAAACTGCTTTCACTTGGCAAGCTTTATTCAGAAGTAAAAATCTTGTTCAGCTTTACAAACGTAGAGTATTGATTTGTAGTTCTAAAAATAAGATGTGGCCCACCATCCTAGGACCGCACAAACAAGCCGTAAAGAGAAATGCCGTTTGGATACAGGCCATGCTGGACGAACCTGGAAAACACGCTAGTGCAAGTCAGGTGCAAGTCAGGTGAATATTGCAGAACTCTGTACCCTCTTTCTTACATAGCGAGCTCTCTCCCTTTGTGTATCTGCATTGACAGAGACTCGCCACTATCAGCGACAGTGACATTCACCTTTGTTTGTAACAATGACTCTTAGGTGCCTACTATGTATAAATGTCCGGTATATGGTTTATAATAAGAAGTGGCATGCGCTAAGATGGAAAGTGTACAATCTTTGCTCTCAAGAAAATCACATAGCTTTTATGCCTTTAATAGTGTCCTCTAAACTGATGAACTGCTCTGGCCATTGGTACCCGTGAATGTGCCCTTGTTTGGGAAATAAGGTCTTTGAAATGTTGTCAGTTAAGTTAGTAGCATGAGTCCTATCCCAGTCGGCATGGTGCCCTTAGTGCAGGCAGGGAAGAAAGGCAATGATGTGACAGTGCAGTGCTGCCGCAGCGGCAACGCCAATGAACATCTGGGGCTCACAGCAGCTGGAAGAGACACAATCTTCCCTTACAGCCCTCAGAAAGAATGTGGCCCTGCCAATATGCTTGTATTCAGATGTGTAGCATCCAAGATTGCAAGACAGTACATTTCTATCATCATAAGCCATCTTATTTGTGATATCTTTTCCTACAGCAGTCGTAAATGTTTAAGTTTAATATGCAGGAAATAATAGGCGGGGGTGGGGGTGGGGTGGGAGGTGGAATTCAGGGAAGAATCCAAACAAACAAACAAACACCCCAAACTGGTCACCATGCTGACTCATGGTGACCTCCCTGTGGGTCTCCGAGGCTGCAACTGTTGACAGAGCAGAAAGTCTAGGGAGCTGCGGTTGGTTTCGAGCTGTGGATGCCGAAGCACCACACCAGGAGGACTCACAGGGAAGGATCAATTATTGCTATAGATTTGTTTGGTACAGAATCATAAAGGGAGTGTAGAAGAGCAGGGTTTGATTTGGGTTTTGAAGGACAGGTAAGGTTGGGAAGAGACGGAAGGAAAAGGGGCAGTGAAGATAGATGGTGCTTTCTGAGCAGCAGAAATCCTGTGGCAAAGGACGAAGGTGGCAACGGCTCGGGGTCTTTTGGGGGTAGTTAGTGCTAGGTGCCATCAAGTCTGACACACAGCCATCTGATGTACAACAGAAGAAAACTCTGCTCCGTCCCGGGCCATCTCACAATTGTTCTTACGTCTGAGCTCGTTGTTGCACCCTCTGTCCATTCATCTTGTGGGGGGACTTCCTCTTATGCTGCTTGTACTCTTAGGGAAAGAACTTTGATAGACTAAGTTTTCCTGCACAATTTGCGCTTGACTTCTAAACTTTTAAAAATAGTAAATTTAAATGACCTTAATGGATACACTTTTCCAGCATCTTGTATTTGCACTTTAAAATACAATTATTTTATCACATTGGGAAATGAAATCCAATAGACCATAAATGCTGGTGATTTCAAACTGCTGACCTTGAAGTTCCCAGCCCCATGTATAAACCCACTGGGCTACCAGGGTTAGTAATATATAATTGATCCAAATAATGTAACTCTATTGGATATTTAAAAATACTTATTTTACATAAAATTTATTGTAGGTGTACTTTTTGATACCATGGATGAGACTTCTTTCTGAACTTAATTCATTAACTCCAGCATCCATAAATGCCACAAAGAGGTAGACCTCTCAACATCAATTTTATCTTATTATCTTTTTAAATAGATGTAAATGCTAAAAAGCTGTGTTCACATCAATAACGTCACTCAATACTTTGGCCTTTTCTTTATTTATGTTGAATATTACAGCCTTTCACCAAAAATTGTTTAATAGGCTGCTATCTGACAAATTTATTAGGACATTTTACAATGCTGTTGAGAAATGAAATTGGAGAGCACCCGTATTGGTTTCCCATGTTGTGTTAGTCTGGGTACATTAGAGATACAAATCCACAGAAACTCATATGTATTAGAGAGAGTTTTATATAAAGGGTAAGTGCACATCAAGAAAACATCCCAACCCAGTGCTGCCCAGGCCCACAAGTTCAACATTA